CTTTAGCCTTTATTAAAGTAGATTCCACTGCGTGTCCTAATGCCCCACCCATAAAACCCTATAACCACCGTTTTCGTGGGAAAACATGCAGGGAGTAGGAAGTAATGAGTGGGCCTGCATAAGCTACTGTTGCTAAGAGATCAAACAAAAGTTACATTAGCACAGTGGAGGACCATTTGGAGTTATGGCCTATGGTGTATGGGAAGAAAATGAGGAGGAGACGAGAGTGGGAAACACGGCACAGGTCGGGCTTACCGGAATAGGATCTGCGATGTTCTTGTCTGCAGGTAACCATAATGGCGACCCTCTTCCTGAACTGTAGAGAGCAGGGTTTCCACCAGGGGGAATTGGCTGCCCAAGCCCAAAGTGACCAGCATGAGAAAGAAGAACACCGACCAGAGGACAGGCAGCGGCATTTGGTTAATGGCCTCCGGGTAGACCACGAACACCAAGCCTGGACCTGTAAGAAGAGCACAAGATAGGCAGTCAGAAGGCAGACTCTGGAATTGTGTGTCTATTGTCCGATAAGCCTGTAGGAATCTGGTGCCCAGAGCAACTGCGCTGACTCAGACTGCCTTTTTCCTTAGCCAAGCCTCGCTCGCCGCGCGCTATTGTCCTTTCGCACGCTCGATGTCAACTCACCGCGCGTACGCTCGAAAGTAATCGATAATGCCGCCTCAGCTGATTGGTGGCAGCCATTGGAGCATTTATCACGCAGCAAAAAAACTTGATTTTTCTTCCCTTCTCTTCACTTACGCAGCTGGATATTGTACACGGCGCTAGCAAAGGCTACTGCAAAGCTACTTGAGCTCAGTACAGTTGTTCCAATTCATTCTGTCTTCCCAGACTTGCGATTTTGGGATGCTTCCGATGTCGAGAGAGCCACTAGCTCTCGATAATTAGTGATTCCCGACAAACACCATATTCTTCGAAATCGACGATAAAGTTTGGTTTTGACGATGGACAGCTTTTCGCCAGCAATTCAGCACATCTTGGCGCCTGCTTCTGGATCGATCACTGCTGCACAACTCACCCAAATGGGCAAACGGTTGATGGAGATTCATGACTTTGCCAAACTACCAGTTGCCTTACTTCCAATTTCTTCTGTTCCTCCTGTTTCTCC